AAAGTGTGGAAAATAGCCTTTACAACCGACGAAACCCAGGGCCTTTGGCTTAGTTTCATGGGGAGAAAATTTAAAGAATCTATAAATCTGATACCTAGATCAGCGACAGTCACACAAAGTAATTTACCACCTTGCGCCAACAATTCGATAGCAATTTTCTCCTTAAGAAGTTGATTCACCACAAAGTAAGAATCATACCTGCCTGCATTATGCGCTATGAATGTGTAGTTACTAAAGGGCTTGTTTATAAATGTTATTATAAACTCCTCTAGGCACGCTGTACCCTGAAACTCCCAGCACTTATCCCCTTCTAATTCTGAAGCATAGATATAGTTGGGGATATGTACACCGGCCTCCTGCATACATTCAAAGTCATAAAAAATGTATTTGTTAGCAGGGTCTTCTGGGGTGTATATTCTCATATAACAAACATGGCCATCAAGCGTGACTACAGTGGCATAGCAAATCTGACATTGGAAACCTTTACACTTATGATCGGCCATTACGGTGTAACGGCCGCAGGAGTCACAATAAGCTTTCTGCCTGCACTCTATGTCTCCGGATACGGAGAGCTCTATGTGCAACTTTAAGCACTCTTGTGAACGACAAAAAGTACGACAACTGGAACATCTAGGAAATTCCCCTTTCACTTCTACACAGTTCTGTCTGTGACAGGCCTTACAAAAATACCGGCAGGAATGATTGTTTTTGTGAGAGAATGGTGTGTGACAGTAATTACAGAAGTATGATTCCCCAATGAACGCATTAATTTTTTTAATGCCATAATAATGTTTGTCTTCATGTATATAAACACAACTTTATCTTTACAGGGCTTGTCTGAATGAAAATAGTGCCACGAACCATGATTGTGATACAGTACTTTAATTGTAATGCCTAAATGTTGTTCAAAAGCTGGGATGTCGCTAAAACTAACCAGACGATCATCAGGGATACCTACAGCTTTATGTATTTCCCTGGCTCTCTCCAACAACAGAGAGTCTACAGGATTATCCTGAGCCACAAGGGCACAAATGCTAGCCGCTAGACACAGATTATTATTATCATTGTTTAAATCATAAAGCCATCTCTTTTTCCTGGCAATGATACAACTATAGGGTGTTGACCGGAGACGCCTACGATGCATTACACCACCGACTCTATTCCTGGTGTTGTCCGTCCCTTGCCTCCCCAGCACGAACCCAGTTTGATCATCGTGTATCAGTGTTGGAAGAATTTTACTCATTCTAGTGGCTAATATTTTAGCATAGATCTTAGCATCTGAATTTAACAGTGAGATGGGTCTAAAATTTTTACATTGATCTGGGGGTTTCCCGGGTTTGGGCAAGGTTACTATTGTGGCTAGGAGCATCTCGGTGGGGAGTTGGCCCGTGTCCGTCCGGAACGTCCGCACCAGCCACGGGCCAAGTATGTCCGCAAATGTTTTGTAGTACAGATTGGACAAACCATCGGCTCCCGGAGATTTTCCGGCGGGCAGCTGTTTGATGGTATCCAGGACTTCATCTACGGTAATTGGTTCCAGTAGTGCGGAGAGTTGGGTCTGGTCCAGCCTCGGGAGGGGGAGCCCTGTCAAATAGGAGCGAATCGAAGCGTCATCTAAGGGGGCCATGCCAGGTTGGTCCCCCAGGTTGTAGAGGCCTGCATAGTAATTTGCGAACTCTTGTGATATCTCCATGGGATTTTGTATCTTTTTACCCGCAACGGTGTGCAGGTGGGCTATCTTGGACGTTGCCAGTCTCGTCTTTAGGCCGTTGGCTAGATATTTTGTAGCTTTTCCGCTATGATGATAGGATGTTGCCCTCAACCTTTGTAAAAAATAGGCAGTTTTCGCTGCGTTCAGTTCTGTTAATTGACTTGTTAGGGTTTGCACCTGTTTGGCCAAAGCCGGAGATGGGTTTAATTTGTTTTGGGTCGTCGCTACCACCAGTAGCTTCTGGCATTCTAGTTGGGTTTTTTGTCTACTCTTCTTGAGATATGAGGAGCGTCTAATAAAGAGACCCCGCGCCACAGCTTTGTGTGCGAGCCACACGGTTTGGTCGGGTACGTCCCCCCCAGAGTTTGCCTGGAAATATTCTTCTAAGTCTGTCTTCACCTGTTGTAGGAATGTGCTGTCGCTTAACAGCGATAAATTTAACCGCCAAGTCCCCCTCCCCTTAAATTGGAAGGAGTCGAATAGATCTAGGTATACAGGGCTATGGTCCGACCAGGTTATATCACCAATAATGCAGGTCGAAACTTGTGCTAGTGTTTGTTGGTCTACATAGAAAGTGTCAATCCGGGTGTAAGTGTTATGTACTCTCGAGTGGAACCCAGTGTGGAGGACTCTCCAGCTATCGTATAAGTTGTGTAGTGTAAGTTTTGCATTCAACGTTTTGCATGTGGATACCATTTGTCTTCGCCTCGCACCCTGAGGTAGTGCTGTTGTATCTTCCTCAGGAGACGTAATAAAATTAAAGTCTCCACAAAGGATTAACCCCCCTAGCTTGTGTTGTTCAATTTTCTGCATAAGGCGATGGAGAACCTCTGCACCTGTGTTAGGGAAGTATGCCGAGACCAGGGTATACTGAGCGTTATTGAAGAGGCCTGTCAAAATGATAAACCTACCCTGTGGGTCTACCAGTTTTCCCTGTTCTATAAATGCCACATCTTTGTGGATTAGAATGGACGTCCCTTTGGTCTTGTTTGTCGAGACCGCATGGTATTGGGTTGGAAAGTGTTTAGTATATAGTTCGGGGGTCTTAGTATTTTTTAAATGTGTCTCCTGGATACAGGCGATATCGATCCTTTTCGTCTTAAGCTCTTGTAGCAAGAGGCGTCTTTTACCTGGGGTGTTCAACCCCTTTACATTATAAGTCAAAATTTTCATAGTGGGTCAATGGTGTCTCTAAAAAACAATGTGCTAAGTCGTGTCCCATCCGTGTGGAATGGTGACCTGGGGTTTTTGTTATATGCCAATTGCTGGTAATGCTTGTGGGAATGCTCCAGTTGAAGGTGTAACATGTTTCTTGTATGTCGTGGGGTAGTGCGGGAGGGGTAAGGGTGGGTCAAAACAGTCCATGGGTGGTGTACCCAGTAGGGCTCCCATAACCGGGGCCTCGGTCCGCAATCTAGCCAGTAGATGCGGGTGGTGGGGGGGGTGCAGGTGAATCCGTCTAACATGTCGGTCATTCACCTAGAGACCTCAGAGCAGTGTCAAATTAAATGCATGCAAGCTAGTTAAATGGTTAATACATTAACATACATTGAAATAACCAATATAGTTTGGTGACACCTGCGGTATAGCCTCTATGGGCATTTGCAGCTAAGGCGTCTATTCCTCTATACAGTACAAATTGTGCATTGGGCAGAGTCAGATTCTAACCAGCTGTATGTGCTGCTGACTTAATGAGTCTAGAGCCTGTAGGGCCCATGTTAAGTAGTGTGTGTACTGCATTCTGAGACTAAAATGTCTTTTGGCTTTATAGAATATCCTATACCAGTCCGCGTTTGTTGAGCGTAGAGGTGTGTGTGTTATATAGTTACGTATATCACAGGTGCTTCATTGGGTTGACCATTCCGGCTGCAATCTTGGGACCTTTGCCGACTTTGTGGGTTCAATGGGTGGGATAGGCAGTCCCCAATCCCTTAGCTTGCGAATGCGTTGGGTCACGTCTGTAACCATGTGGATCGCGTCTTGGTGGGAAATCAGGAGTTTGGCTGGATAGCCCCAACGATAGTCCACACTCTGCTCTCTCAGGATTGTGGTGATGGGCGACAATGTCTTCCTGAAGTGTAAGGTTTCGGCCGACAGATCTGCAAAGATTTTAACAGATTTGTAGTTGTCAGGCATGTTTGTGTTCCTACTGGCTCTCATAATTTTTTCTTTGGCGTGGAAAAAATGAATCCTTGCCACAACATCTCTCGCTGCCATAGGTGGTAGGTGTTTAGGTCTGCGCAGTCTGTGCGCTCTGTCGATAATCAATTGGTCAGAATGAATTTCTGGGGTGAGAACTTGAAATAGGTTAGATAGGTAGTTTTGGAGGTCAGCATTATGTATAGATTCTGGAATTCCACGGAACCGGAGGTTGTTCCTCCTTGCTCTGTCTTCCATGTCAGCTAATTTTATCCTATGTGCCTCCAAAGTATTATCCAGCTCTTGGATCTTATCTGCCAGGCTATTATGGGCCACAGCATGTTCGTCCAGTTTTGCTTCGATCTGTGTGGTGCGATTACCTATCTCCTGTATCTCCCTGTGTAGTTCAGTTTTCAGCTCCTGAAGCTGTTTCTTCATATTGGGATTGTGTTTGTAAATTCCTCCATTACTGCTCGGATGCCCCCCATAGTCAGGGGTTGTTCCTCTGGTGTGCGAGAGGGGGAATTTTCCCGCCTCTCCTGGTCGCCGCCATCTTGTGCAGGCTCCTGGCCCTCTCTCAGCTTGGAGGCCGCGGTTTTAGTTAGAAAGAACGCGGCTCGATCGGACTTCTCCGCTTTATTTTTCTGCCTCTGAGACATGTTGCCCACCTCCTCCAGTCGATGTAAGTGTATTACGCTCGGTGTACCGCTTGGTTATGGCTCTTTTTGGTCTCTGTTTGCCGGAGCTGTTCTTACTTGCGTCCATTCATCTCCGGCTGCAGGCCACGCCCCCTCTATTCCTAACAATGATTACAACCAGCCTTAAAGACCCGCTGCCAATAATTTCAGCGTTGCTCTGTACCAAGTTTGACATTGCGTTTAAAAAGGTTTTAGCATTCAATTCATCCCTACAACGTCTAATAGAGTGTAAAGGTCTGCCAAGATCATCGCTATCTAGCCTTAATTGAACAAAATCGCTAGGACCTATATCAGGCATCATCCTGTTTAAAAGCTCTTGAATAGCATCATGTACAGACAGGAGTGCGTCTGAAAACGATGTTATTCTGTCTAAATTTACAAACCGAAAATGTTCATAATATTCTACGGCATTAAAATTGTTAATATCTCTGCGGCGTTGTTCAACACGCTCTAAAAATACAGGGACCTCTAGCTCATTAACAGGGTTCTGAACTTCGGGATGCTCCTGCGAATCGTTAATATTCTCAGGACTAAATGGACTTTGTTGCGTCTCTGTGGAAAGTTCTGTAGGTGTTGGGGCTATTTCAGTATCATTTGTGTGGAGTGTCACAAGGGTAACTGTAGCGTCTACGCCATCCTCAGCCGGAAGCACCACATGTGTTAAGCATTTGACTGCATCACAAGGGGTCTTACGGCGTTGCCTAGACATCGTAGAACGTAATGCACCTCGCAATGTATTTATGGCACGTTTAACGGTTCTACCTCGACGCTTAGCTACAAGTCTCTGTCTGCCCCATTTTTTGGATTGAGATAATAAACCCCGTCCAACCATGACTAGTCACGCGGGGGTCAGTAAATTTAGTCCTGAACGAAAGGCATTGGTAGCACGGTCAAGTCTTTCTAAACGGTTTAAAAAATGAGTTTGTCTAAGCTCATCATCAGTCACAATAACAATGTTACGGATCTCACTAATCACAGAGTCAATTAAGGCTCCTAAAGCGAACCAAAAACCAATTTCCCTTAAAAACCACTGTAATAAATCACTGACGTTGTCACGGAGTAATATAATGTTTGGTATAACACTGTTTCTACTCAATTGTCTGTCACGACCATCATGGGATAACAATGCATGGCCAATTCTAAATGGGTGGCTAGCGGCGTAAAGTTTTAGACTCAGAGGCCTGCTGCACTGTAAAAGAGCAGCGTCATTCAGTATTTTGAATATTTCAGTGATTGTATGTTGTACAGCATCCTTGACTTTAAACGATAAAGGAGCAGAACGCGTGAACCACAACATACATTTTCTAGCATCAAGAGGTGATGTGGTCTCTGTATAAATGTGTGTGTTTTTGCAGTCAGTATGTGTTATGGTCTGTAAAACATATCTACTTTTCTTAGGTGGCGGGTGTGACGGCACCTTTACAGAGGTATTTCTGGATGTCAGTGATGTAGTCCCTCTATGTATATTGTTATCATTGCAGATGGTTTGTGTTATGTCCTGTAAAACAGATCTACTTTTCTTAGGGTTTGGTTGTATAGGAACATTTGCAGGGCTAATGGATTGTTTCACAGGTACTTTTGATGCTACAGTGAAATGTCGACACCCTGATACATTGACTGTTGATGTGACTGATGGCTTACCCCGAGACGTGTGTTTTGTTGTGGTTAATCAATGTATTTGTAGAGGCTCCTTTGCGACGCATGTCGCACTAGATGGTCGCTGCCTTAAAGCCCCTGAGGTCGACGTTGATGGTTGTTCATCGTCACGTGTGACTGGAATATCTCTTGTAGAGCGGCTCCGGGTTATAGACAACTTTGGTACTGTATTCAAAAATAAATGAGTAAATTAATACACCGATGTACATACAGGTACAAGATACAAATAAACATACTATATTTATGTAGTATACAAATATACAAATAAACAAAAAACTCATACGTATACTTGCCCTGTTTTAGTTTATGCGGGTTGCAGTCCCTGCGTTCTCCGGCATTCGCGCTGTATGTCTTACGACCGTGATCTGCAGTTGGTAAGCGGCTAATGCCTGTACATGCATTAGAAACTGCTGAGGTTTTTGTACTCTTTACGGCTGTTTCTAAAATAAATAGAAATATAATTATCGCAGGGATAAAACCAGGGCTGATACAACAGCATATAACGTTATATAAACACATACCTGCTTTTAATGGTCTATGTGGATGTATGTTGGAGGGTCTGTCAGTCAATACTCTAGTATTAAAAGGATCTAAATAAATAAAATACAATAAGCCTTAGTTTTTTTTTATGCATAAAAGACTACAAAATAAATGTTTAGAATTTTAGAACGCTTATCAATATAGAAAATACTAATTTTCATTCGTTGTCGGACTGATTTGTACCTGAAAGGTAATAAAGTATTTGAACGCTTATGACGGGAACACTAGGTCAACATTTTACAATGAATGACCACAATCGGTTGTTTGACAAAACAGACACAGTGAGATGTCTAACAGCCACAGTGATATGGTTGATGCTGTAGCATCACAGCTTATTTTAAAAAGGTAATGCCATAACATGCAAGGATAAGCTCAGCATAACGCATATATACAACATATATAAGCCCAGCATAACACATATATTAAACAACCTACACGGATAAGACCCACAAATGCCTAGAGAAGAAGTTTGCATACATTAAAAACATGACTATGTTCAGAACGTAACGTTTTAGAACACAGAGACACGGAAACAAACAATGCAGACTCTATATAATAGACCCCTTACGTTGTTAAAAATAAAAACAAATACAAACGGCATACAGTCTATACTACAGACCCTGACAGTTTGAAATAAAACAACCCCATAGACATTCATATTTGAAAAAACATAACATTTTAAATATAAAAGCATGATGATTTAGAATTACTTACCATATCTGTGTCTTGGGTATTCATTATGTAGTTGTAACCAGGAGCTGTCTTACGACCCCTAGCCTTGAGACAGGTCTTTTTATACCTTTTTTTTTTTTTTTGGTGTTTGCGTGATGGGTTCAGGCAGGTGTATGATGGTCATTGTGTGATGTGGTCAGACAGGTGCATGAGGGTCGTCAGTAGTAAAAATAGCCATACTCATTGCAATAGACAAATCTGATTTTATTGAGAGCAAAATAAATCATTACATATCAATGACGATAACACACGGTACATCTCTGCACATACACGCTATGAATGCGTCTATTTTTTAACCCACGCATATATTGCCACACAAAACTGGAGACTAAACGGTCATTTTGTTTTAATTCACTTGTGAAATGGCTTAAAAGCTCTTTAAAATCAACCCCTTTGCACATATGATGAATAAAAAAAAATACAGAATTCCCCACATACTCTAGACAGAGTGCTTTGTAACTGAACATTTTGAAAGTATATCTGTTTAGCATTTCTTTTTTAAAAAATCAGTATTTCTTTAGGGAATATTTCACTTGTCGGTGCTAGTCCATACGAATCAAAAAAATATCCCTGTCTCTTATCATCAATATAAACAGCCAACCAGTGCTCCCCGGATAATGTATGTGGATCTGTATTGATAATGAATGCAGCTGGTACGCTGTCCAGTTTAAAGGTGGGTAGTAAATCACACGGAAACACGCCAACAAATATACCTCTGGAATATGGGTCGGTACGTAAAATATGCAGGTGTTCATGATTAGGTTTTAGAGAAAATCATAAAGAATCTCCCGTGTTTGATTAATTTCAATAACGTTTTCAAACAGTCCATAGACGATCAAATTTACAGTGCGTTCCAGGGCCCTCGAAAAGCGTATTTCCGCCCTTAGGTTACCGCTATGTATGAGTGAAAAATGACTACTGCATTCCTGATCAGGCGATAGATCAAAGGCGAATAATGTATATCCATCCACAAATTCTACTCTGTTAATTATAATTCCAGAATCACCGCAATTCTTCTGTGCCAATAATAAAAATGACATATATTCACGCACTGCGTTAGAATGTTCAAAATCAGGCTGAAACGGCTTTGCAGGTATTTGTTCACCATCTAGATAGAGAGCCGCAAAATTTACATTGTGGTGTTTGAAACACAAGGGATTTCTGTCGTAAGCGCCTGAAAAAGCTTCATTGTCGACAAACGCTAAAATGACCAGCTTAGGGATCTGTCCCAAGAATATATTTTCCTGATTGCAAACACGACTACCGGTGGGCACGCTGAATACTTTCATACTAGCGCGCTCTATGGCATATTTAGCGTTGCCGGTTAGAAGTCCTTGCGCATGACCTATTCGCACGGCAGGTGATATCTGGACTCTTTTAACAAACAGAGACGCATTTATAATTTGAAGTTTAAATGGCTCGGGGTCTGCGGACATTAAACAAAATGTGTCTTTATTTCTGGTAAGTTTTATTTTCAAATCCAGACCGTTCAGTATCATTTTCTCCTGAAAAAATAGATCACTATGTAGATGACCAAGTAATTCAACAGTCTTACTGCGCGCTGTCATATGTGCACGCTTTGTAAAGCCTTTGTTGTCACCGTCCAAAACTCGGTCTTGATGTTTTCCCGCAGTATCCTTGTAAAATAATCCGGCAGTAAACTGGGTTGATAAAGCATCGGCGCTGTAATTGAGAAGTGTTTCAATGTAGGCTCGGTAAGCGTAGAGATTATTGGATTGTGATATCAGCCTGTCCCCGAGTGTAACATCTAGCTGATTAAATAGTGTCGCTATCGGGTAATTGATTAGACTCACTCGTGCTCCTTCTGCAATCAGCGTATTGTCGTTTTTAACAATTTTACATGTAATGTACAACAGTGTGTTATTCAAATCGAAATAATGTTCACCGCTGCCTGCTATGTAGAACTCGAGCGGTGAAGTTTCCGAAATGGCTGCCAACGGTTGTACTTCCACATACAGACTTTTTTCAATGCTGCTCTGAGTAGGTTTTATTTCAGAAAGATCCAGTTCTGATTTGGTGCATTCTACGGATGCTGAATGGATAAACGACATGACAGCTGTTCAAAATATGTTGTTTGCGTTCCTTCATGATACTCTTCTCTTCTTTCTAGCAGGAGGACAAGCCTTTTTGTTGTATGTTATGGCATACATGCAGGAAATACAACTGGTCGTTTCCATTTCCTTTTAGGGGTATACTACCTATGTATAAACCTGTGCCGTCCTGGGGTTCACCTACTATTTTATTCATCGCTGCCGTTGAAACTCTACCGACAACGTCCTTTGCAATGTTCCTAGCCGCTGTTTTCACATGTGGTTTCACCAATTCTAAACCACGCCTGAACAAAGGCACAGCTCTCCGGAATAAGCTTCTAAATATTCCCCCTAAACCATGACCGTACATATATGTAATACCATGAAATCCCGTCAGTCCCTGACCTGCTTGTGACATAATAAGCGCTGTAAACGTGTGGTTCTGCATAGGTTTTAACCACAACCATTTTTTCTTTAATAAAAGCTTCCACGCCGGGGTCGAAAGTGTAGCTTAATGATAGCCTTCCCGTATTTGAATGAAACGTTTCTGTTCTGATCGTTCTTTATCTCTATTGTGATGATGTCAAAATGGTATTTACTGACTGGTATGTAGTCAGGTTTGATGTACCGCTGGGTAATAATTTTGTTTTTACTGCCGGTAATTTCTACGGTACGTAACAGCGGTACAAAACTGTCGCCTACACGCTGATGTTCTATAACGAATAAGGTGTAAAAGCTGTCTTTTATATCTGCACACATTCTGCACACATTCTGCCTGTGACGTTTGGTCTCTCGTGATTATAATCAATACCAAGAATGTGCGTCAATCTGTCGCTGGCAATAAACGTATGCGTACCATTGATAGATACCTTTCTCTCTAGTGAATCATATTCTAGCTTTATATCCATCGGAGGAAATTTGTAACTTTCAATCCGTTCATTAATACCCGACACCAGATCTTCAATAGCATTATAATATCCAGATTTTACACTAAGCCGTTTCGTAGGTCCGCCTGGTAACCCTACATATATTAAACCATCAGAGGCTTCAAAAGTATTCCATTTGTGTGGATATTGTATTTCTGTTAAACCCACTTCCCATTCGCCTTTTAAGATAATTGGCTTGGATAGTTTTGTCGTATAATTGGATATTTCATTTTGAGGGTATATTCCGTGCGAAGCGTTACTAGGCAGCGTTACATAAAATGCTGTGTCCTCCATAGTTGTGTTGTTGTTTAAAGGGGCGGTTAACTGCTTTTTGTCAATCCAGCTATTGAATGCCGCTGGGCAACCTAACCATTTGACGTAGTACAATGTTTTACCTTTGTCGATCTTCTGTCTTAAAACTTTTTCAATTCTGTAAACACGGTTGTAATTTGGAGGTATTTTCTGTATTTCTTCAGCGTAGAATGATCCCTCAATTAGTTCGTCGTTACAATCTTTTAACATAAAGAGGGGTTTTATACCTCTGGTATTTATTGAGTCCACTACAAATATTTCATCAGTGAAGGTCTGCTCATACCCTTTACTGAAAATGTCTTTATACTTTGATATCCTGACTTGGTCTCCGATTTTCAGCGCTGGTTTAATCCTTTTACGATTGAAATACTCCCCGTAAATGTTTTTCCACACTATGAGTGTATTTTCATGCGTCACTGCTGCAGGAGCGCACCGGATTTTTCTGTGTACTGTGTGGTTGTAGCTATATATCAGATCAGCCAGAATATCCACATAGCGGAACGTATTGCGCGCAGTAAAATAGCGCCACAGTTTAGTTTTTAATGTTCTGTTAAAACGCTCCACAATAGCGGCCTTCACCGTATTATTTGTTATAAAGTGTATAATCTCACATTTTTTAAAGACTGCTTTTACACTCTTGTTAAGGAATTCTTTGCCTTTGTCCGTTTGCAACTTTTGAGGTACACGACCCGTTGCAAATATATTCTGAAAAGCATCAGCAACGGTTTTTCCTGATTTATTCTTCAAAGCCACAGCCCAGGCATATTTTGACAGCACATCTATGACGGTCAGTATATATTTTATACCATCATTTTGCTTAGCAAAGTCAATCATTGACACAAGCTCAGCTTGCCATTGTTCGTCAATATTAGAGACGCAAATCTTATTGCGCTCAAATCGTCGCCTTGCTGGCCTGTGTAACGTGTAAGTGTCCTGTTCTGTCAGCCATTCTTTAACAACAGTTCTTTTTATGTTATGTTTTTTAATTGAGTTATATAATTTATCAATACCACCGTAGCTACCTGCTTCTCTTGGTGTATAATATATGGATTTTAATACTGATTTATTAATGCTGTTTGGCATCATGATTAAAGAATACTATTCACATGTTTATCTTGTTACAGCTGTCACCCTGAGAGCCTAGGCTGTAAATGCCAGCTGGCTGTCAACAATCATACTGTACCCTGTGTTTAAGGAAAACATTTCAATTGTTGATTTTGTTACGGCTGTCATCCTGGGACCCCCCTGTCTTGGTTGTAAATGCCATCTGTCTCTCATTGCTCATCTAAGCACTATTGGTTTTAGATCTAATTGCATTGCCATACGTGTCTAATAAACATTGCTATATGAGTTAATTTGGTATTTATTTATTTCACAGATTTATATAAGCTCACCCCCTCTAAGTTTGTTTTCTACTTTCAAAACAGGTCCCAGACACATCATCCAAAAAACATGTCCAGACTTGTACCCCTTTATTCAGTAATATCCATCCTCTAAATGAAATAATTTTTTTTGGCTAATATGGGTTTGTTCTCTAATTTAAAAACTGATTGTTGAGTAGAATGTCTCAATTTAAGCACATTACCGCTTGGAATGATAAGGGTGAATTTGTTTATAAAAACACTGTTGTACCGGGATCAAATATACTCGATTTGGTACGTAGTGTTACCCAGAGTCACAATGTCACAGTACGTAAATTACCTCTGGGCTGGGATACTTTTCTTCAGGCTATGGCTGACCTGAACGTACCGTCTACCGTTGTGGGCAACACATCAAATAGAGACTATTTGGAACAATTCAAATTGCGGACCCTTCCAAGCGAGACTCGGGACATAACACCCCATTTTCAAAAGAGACAATCGTTACCAAATATTTCTTTTAGCACCCCGGGATTAACTACATCTCACGGCTATTTGCTACCTAAGAAGCGCCCACGTATACTAAAGCAGCCTGCTGATTGGTTGAATTTGTGATGTTTATTCATTGCATTTCTGTCTAAAACATGTGATGATTATTGCTTTTCCTTCATACATTGTATTACCACTTTTGCCTGTGAATATTGTATTGTTGCTTTTCCTGTGAATATTGTATCGGCTTTTTTTTTTGTCTAATAAATATCGTTATATGAGTTACTTTGGCATTTATTTATTTCTCAGATGTATATAAACTTGCCCTCTGGGTTTGTTCTCTACTTTCAAAACTGGACCCAGACACATCTTCCAAAACATGTCCAGACTTGTCCTCTTTATTCAGTAATATCCCTCCACTAAATGAAATGAAAAATAAATAAATAAACATCCAACCATAGGATGTAGTACCTCATACAACCACATGGTGGCAGACTCTATGAACATTGTAAAGGGGCGTGTCTATAACACGCCGTATTGGGTGTGGTTTCATTAAAAAAGGGGCGGACACCCATCAACACGCAATGGGTGGGGCCCTATTGCACAAGGGGCGTGGTTTCATGAAAGGGGCTGGGCAACCATCACCGCACAGGGGGCGGAGACCTATTGCGCAACAGGCGTGGTTTCATAAAAAGGGACGGTGCGTCTGTCATATTGCGCAAGGGGCGTGGTTTCATAAGAGGGGCGTGGTTTCATAAAAAGGGGGCGTGGCACCTGTCAAAAGTTAGTTTGATGACTTGTACCGCTATACACTACTGTCATCTCACTCCTTCTGTGCTTGCCTGGCTTGTGCCATGACCTGCAGCATCGCCTCTGTTGCTGGATTAGGTCCCAATAAACTGAGCATCCATCTGATGTCCTTCTGCATCACCGTTTCTTCCTCAGGTTCCATTTCTGTAGTGCTGGTTCTGTCGCCCTGTAACAGCTCTGCAATTAACATGGCTTTTGTTTTGTTGCTTGCTATTACGCCTCGAGCTTCCAGCAAATCCTTAAGCGTGGTTCTTTTAAGCTGTTGGTACTGCTGCGCCATTCATTCCTTTGCTTGCTTTAAAAAGTCCGTTCGGGATTCGAATCTCGCCGCTTGCCACCAGTTGTAAAGAAACCAAGTACATTTAAACCTTAATCGGTAGTTTCCTCCCGAACAGGCAGAGCCCAGTGAATATAGCCCTCTGTTCGGTAGTTATAGTAGACGAATTCCCAATTGTAAATCCAATAGTGTTCCTGGATAATTCCCACAGTAAAACACACGAACTCCCAAACAGCATACGTAGTCAGAATAAGGGTACAAAGATGAAATGAAGGTTTAATGACAGGCATGCTCTTTTTATGGAATTCAGCCCATGCAAGGGAGCCTCCCATATAATTAGCCATACATCCAATCCTAACAATATACATACTGTACATCTCCTCCCCTCAGATAACCATTAAACACAATTAAAACGTAACAGAAATTCCCCAAAGTTTGGATGTACCCCAAGGACTACCCCAAGGTGTCCCCAGATAGCTATTGTCTGGGAGACCAACATATTAAAAACTCAGTCCATTCGGTTCAGCCGTTCGGGAGATATAGGACTTAGAAGTTTTGACCGACTGCACGGGCAAAGTAGCCGAAAACAGTTCCATGAATTCTGGCCCTGCAGTCGGTCTTAGATCGCATGAAAAACCTCCCGAATGGCCGGCCATCCAGCTACCATCCTTGGTTCGCTTGATTCCCCATCTGTTGGTAAGTCTTTCTACCGAACGCCCGGGCTTTTACCGAAGGTCTGGAGGCTTCAGCGGTGTTCGCCTGTTTGAGTGTCCATTTTCAGTTCCAGACATTCAAGGGCAAACACCGCTGTTCGGGAGCTAAAATGGCCGCGAACACGAGGAAGTCCCGAAATGGTGGCGAGACCTGCCGTTCGTGCAAAACTTCTGCCGAATGTAATCCAGCCAGCAAGGGGGTACAGTCTGTATACAGGGGTGACAGGGTGGTCTGCATTCGGTAGTTTTAGGGAAACATTGCTATTGACAACAAATACAAGGAATGCATATACAGTAAAAAAAGGCATTTCTTCACATATATATATACACACATTTTTTTGTTTTGTTATTATTTAGTTCTTCCATTTTAAAGTTGCTGACGATGTTTAGGGCCAAGGAGGCTGCTGCAATTCTTACATCTGACTCTGATTATTTCATTATTTTAATTTTTCAAATTTTAGTTAGTTAATTAGGGTGCGTGGTAATTCATAGGAAGTTGGGGAGTTTAGTGTTACGCTAGGGGTGAAAAGATTTTTAAAAAAAAACAGAAAAAAAAATATTTTATAACATTATTTAGTTAAAGTGTAAAAAGTAAAAAAATGCTTAGGAAGTTATGAATTCTATCAGCAGACAGAGTTGACAGGTTTTGATAAATCAGAATTTGATGCAGGTTAATACGGTGATTAATACCTTCTTTAAAAAAATGGTAAGCCTTTGTGGGGTAGTTTGAATTATCAGCCTGCTAAGATGCTCTAAAATTGCACATGGACCCAGCGTCAAAATTAAAAGTTTGAAAAAAACTGATATGGCTTAGTCTCCAATGTGCCCCTTCAACATCCACATATCCCTGAAAAAGGTACAAATGGGGGTATTGTTGTACTAAGACAACATAGCTGAGCAACATAATAGGTGTTATATTGCCGTACCACACGTAAGGATTGCAAAATATACAGTAACATCTCCAAGTGTGTGACAAAAAGGCAGAAAAAACTGCTAATTGCTACTACACTTGGTACAAACTAGTAAAAAAAAAAATGATCCTATGCTAGGGTTTAAAATATGCCATTTGAAATACCCTGGAGTGTCTACTTTTACAAATGGCAGGCCTTTGTGGGGGGTTTTCGAACCGTCAAATTGCTATATTGGCCCAAATTGAAACATAGGCCCATCAAATCCGTCTCTCAAAATTCTACTGTAAATACCGAAATGGACAGGTCTTCTATATGGCATTGTAGCTTCACAAAATAGTGCCAAAGACATACAATGGGGGTATCATTTTACTCAGAAGACTTAGCTGAGCATAATTTTGGGGCTTTGATCATAGTGGCACATGTCAAATATACAAAATGCCCAGCAAAAAGTAATGCAGTTGTAAAAAATGCCCCAAATTATTTTTTTACCACAAACTTTGACATACATTGGTGAAAAAATGGGGGCATGTTAAGGCACAATATGCACCATATGAGATACCCTGGAGTGTCTACTTTTACAAATGGTAGGCCTTTTTGGTTTTTTTTCGAACAGTCAAACTGTTATAGTGGCCCAAATTGAAACATAGACCCATCAAATCTGTCTCTCAAAATTCTACTGTAAATACCGAAATGGACAGGTCTCCTATATGGCGCTATAGTTTCACGAAATAGTGCCAAAGACATACAATGGAGGTATCGTTGTACTCAGCAGATGTAGCTGAACACAAAATTAGGTTTTGTACAGGAATAACACACACTAACTTTACGAAATACACATGAGAAGTTATAATTTTGTGTGTCAAAAAACAAAAAACCCCCAAAATTTTAGTCCAATATTTAGCAGGGATTGGCGGTGAAATGGCTACTTAAAAAGTGTCAAAAAAATGTTAGTTACAGTCGCAAGAAAAAGTATGTGAACTCTTCTGAATTATATGAATTTCTGCACAAATTGGTCATAAAATGTGATCTGATCATCATCTAAGTCACAACAATAGACAATCACAGTCTGCTTAAACTAATAACACACAAAGAATGAAATGTTGGCATGTTTTTATTGAACACACCTGTGACAGATCCCTCTGTCTTGAACTGAACTAACCGTATTGCTCATTTGTTTGTTTGATTCGTGTTTCCCCGTTCCTGTGGACTCTAGGCCGTTCCCTTTCTAGGAACGAATAAAACTACTGAACGGCTGGCCACCCAGTAGAGAAGTGTGCTGCTGGTTAACCTCTTGCCCCCATCCGAACGTTGAGGTTAACCGCAAACACCTCTTAATTGATACAATAGTTGGGTGGCCGCCATTCGTATACCGAACATGAGGTCGCAGCCATTTTAAAACACGTGAACGCACAGCGGTGTTCGACGCCCAACTCATGGAACTGAAAACGGATTCATTTTGGCACGAACACCGCTGAAGCCGCCGACCTCCCTTCTTGTTCGGTAGAAGGGCACAAACAGCCCTATATTTGGTAGTTTTCAACTGAATACACCATACCCCAGATAGGAATCCCGTGGAGCTCATTCGTATGCAAACTGACTCTGTGAACCCTTTGGCTCCACGGCGATTGGACTGGGTGCATAGGATCTGAGCGCTATTCGGTACTTCGGTGCGCTCAGATCCTAGCTATCTGGGGACCTGTTGAATGCCTGTAAAATGTTGTAAAATGTCACAGTTATGTATTTTTATGTCTTTTTGTTATTGTCACCTAAAATGGCGTTGAGGCTCTGTCCTGGGAGATAATTGAATTACTTCACAATTATCTCCCTGAGCAGAGCAGAGGATTCTGGGTAAGAAAAGGGGAATGGCTAAGTGTGTATCCTATGATTGGTTACTTCAATGTCCTTGTCACAGTTCCCCATTTGGTCCCCTAGGGGAGTGTCCACCAGATGGGGAACTTGCATAAAAGCCGGGCATGTAGCCCTCATTAAACAGATTCCTGCTGACCCTCAATATGGAGCTTTGCCTTGTCATTGGGGGGATTATTCGTATGGAGTACGCGTGTTCGGCTGTTTGGGAGAATATTTTTTGTTTTTTTTTGTTTTAACATTATCAAAATATGTACAATACCTCAATGAGCATTACAATTATACAAATAAATATGTTTCCATTAAAGCAGATGTCTATAAAGTACTTTTTATGCACACAATAGTTTGTATAACTTTAAATACATACACATAAGAATCCATACATTACAGAGCTAAAATAAACCGCAATAGGGTTACAGTATCTATAAATTACATAGATAGCAGAATTGAGGTGTCACTATACTCCATTCACACTAAAAGACACATACACTCCCAAGGAACCAGCATTGTTTTAACCTTTTATGCCTTTACTTTCCATGTGGGTGCAACTTTTGCTAGTTTCTCTCCGGAATCAAACACACTGCGGGGGCATCTCAAACCTTCCATATTATAATCCTTCATTACAAGCCATAAACTTGTCCACTATATTTTTCCACCTACTAATTTTACTCAGACCCACAGAGTTTCCTTGAATTATTCCAGTTTCCATTTTACATTGGTATATTATTTGTTTTTTAATTTTAAAGTTTGGGAGAATATTTGATTCACATGGTTGCTGTTCGGCTGTTTTGGAGAATATTGGATTTTTGTGCTTGCTGTTCGGTTGTTTGGGGAACTAACTAATCCGTACGGCTACTGTTTGGTACTTTGGAGCGCTCAGTGGCTGCCTCTACGTTCGGTAAAGGAACGTCTCATACGGCTGTAACCCCTCTCCTACCGGGGGAGCCGTAACAACACCATGTAAACATTCACAGTGCAGGTGGAAAAAGTATGTGAACCCTTGGATTTAATAACTGGTTGAATCTCCTTTGGCAGCAATAACTTCAACCAAATGTTTCCTGTAGTTGCAGATCAGACGTGCACAACGGTCAGGAGTAATTCTTTACCATTCCTCTTTACAGAACTGTTTCAGTTCAGCAATATTCTTGGGATGTGTGAATCGCTTTCTTGAGGTCATGCCACAGCATCTCAATCGGGTTGAGGTCAGGACTCTGACTGGGCCACTTCAGAAGGCATATTTTCTTCTGTTTAAGCCATTCTGTTGTTGATTTACTTATATGCTTTGGGTCATTGTCCTGTTGCAACACCCATCATCTGTTGAGCTTCAGCTGGTAGACAGATGGCCTTAAGTTCTCCTTCAAAATGTCTTGATAAACTTGGGAATTCATTTTTCCTTCGATGATAGCAATCTGTCCAGGCCCTGACGCAGCAAAGCAGCCCCAAACCATGATGCCCCCACCACCATACTTCACAGTTGGGATGAGGTTTTGATGTTGTGTGCTGTGCCTTCTTTTCACCACACATGTGGTGTGTGTTTCTTCCAAACAACTCAACTTGGTTTCATCTGTCCACAGAATATTTTGCCAGTACTGCTGTGGAACATCCAGGTGCTCTTGTGCAAACTGTAAACGGGCAGCAATGTTTTGTTTGGACAGCAGTGGCGTCCTCTGTGGTATCCTCCCATGAAATCCATTCTTGTTTAGTGTTTTACGTATTGTAGATTCGCTAAAAGGGATGTTAGCATTTGCCAGTGACTTTTGTAAGTCTTTAGCTGACACTCTCGGATTCTTCTTCACCTCATTGAGCAGTCTGCGCTGTGCTCTTGCAGTCATCTTTACAGGACGGCCACTCCTAGCGAGAGTAGCAGCAGTGCTGAACTTTCTCCATTTATAGACAATTTGTCTTACCGTGGACTGATGAACAGCAAGGCTTTTGGAGATACTTTTATAACCCTTTCCAGCTTTATGCAAGTCAACAATTCTTAATCTTAGGTCTTCTGAGAGCTCTTTTGTGCAAGGCATCATTCACATCAGGCAATGCTTCTTGTGAAAAGCAAACCCAGAACTGGTGTGTGTTTTTTATAGGGCAGGGCAGCTGTAACCAACACCTCCAATCTCATCTCATTGATTGGACTCCAGTTGGCTGACATCTCACTCCAATTAGCTCTTGGAGATGTCATTAGTCTAGGGGTTCACATACTTTTTCCACCTGCATTGTGAAT